TATGGGGGTAGGGGAGGATGGCTTCGTGTACCGTGGGGGTAGGGAGGGTGGGTTCGGGTACCGTGGGGGTAGGGGAGGGGCGGCGATGGCCTGCGATCCGAGCCACGTTTTTTTCCCCAGCAGCCCGTCCGCCTCCTGGCCGCAGTGGTCGACCAGCGTCTTTTGGATCTGGTAGTGGCTCGGGTTGGGGTGCGACGTGTAGCGCTGCAGCCGGAACCTGTTCCTCAACAACGAGTGGCTTCCACGACTACTCGCTGGCAGGTGCGACGTGTAGCGCTGCAGCCGGGACCAGCTGATGATGGACTGCAGCGATCGGTACGCGCACCCCCAGCCGTTGTCGTCATACTTGTCCGTGCGGCCGGTGCCGGTGGGCTGGAGGTAGTGGTAGTACTCGTACTCGCCTGGACACAGACACATCGGGGCGGGGTGTATTTCTTTTTGGGCTGGGATGTATCTCGGCTATACCTCGGCTACACCTCGGCTACATCTCGGCTGCATCTCGGCTACACCTCGGCTGCATCTCGGCTACGTCTCGCCTTGCACGAGCGAGATAACGCCGCCAGCCAGACCCGACGGCGCCAACCCCTCGTGGGGGCTCCTGAGCAAGTACGCCGGCGCGCCGCCTCCGCCGCCGCCGCCGAGCGCGTTGCAAGTGCGCAACAGCGGCCGGTCGAGCGGCAGGCCTAGCTGGGCGTGGAGGCGCTCTATCTCCACTCTATCTCCACTCGATCTCCCCTCTATCTCCCCTCTATCTGGCAGGCCTAGCTGGGCGTGGAGGCGCTCTATCTCCACTCTATCTCCACTCGATCTCCCCTCTATCTCCCCTCTATCTGGCAGGCCTAGCTGGGCGTGGAGGCGCTCTATCTCCACTCTATCTCCACTCGATCTCCCCTCTATCTCCCCTCTATCTGGCAGGCCTAGCTGGGCGTGGAGGCGCTCTATCTCCACTCTATCTCCACTCGATCTCCCCTCTATCTCCCCTCTATCTGGCAGGCCTAGCTGGGCGTGGAGGCGCTCTATCTCCACTCTATCTCCACCCGATCTCCCCTCTATCTCCCCTCTATCTGGCAGGCCTAGCTGGGCGTGGAGGCGCTCTATCTCCACTCTATCTCCACCCGATCTCCCCTCTATCTCCCCTCTATCTGGCAGGCCTAGCTGGGCGTGGAGGCGCTCGCGCAGCGGCCGCGCCGACGGCTCGCTTGCCTGCGAGATGGAGGGGAGATGGAGGGGAGATGGAGGGGAGATGGAGGGGAGATGGAGGGGGAGATCGAGGGGAGATAGAGCGGAGATAGAGCGGAGATAGCGGAGATGCACCTCGGCTACTCTCGGCGACTCTCGGCAAATCTCAGCGACTCTCGGCGAAACCAAATCGTCTCAGCGACTCTCGGCGACTCTCACCTCTTCCCCAACGGCGAGGGCGTACTCGAGGCAGACCGGCACCGCGAGGCCCTCCGGCAGCACCTGTTCACACCGCCTCGCTGTGAACGGAAACGGCGCCCTTGACCTCCCGCGGCCGCCGCGAGGCCCTCCGGTAGCACCGCGCATGCGACAGGCGCCACACCGGCCTTCAGCAGCCCGCCCAGCGACGCCGCCTGCTCCGCCAGCGCACGCTGCAGCG